CTCTCCCAGTCTGAGCACGTCTGTGCAGGAAATGACAGAAGGCTCACCTGTAAACCATGTACTTCCATTGGCTACACTACTAAATAATCTGTGAAATAAAAATCGGTATCCAAACTTAAATCTATAGTACACTGTGATATAATAAAATAAGAACCCTGTGTAAATGACACTTAAAAGTCCCACTTTCACCCTTGAAAGTCCAAAAAAATTATATAAACATTTCCAGTGTCAATGAAATTTCAAAAATACACAAAAATCTAAATCCAAAAATTATTATTAATCCAAATTCTGATTCAAAATCACCGTATAACTCCAAAATTGCCGTGTACTTCCCAAAAAAAAAAAAAAAGGAAAGCTGGATAGTGTATTATCCTCAATAAACAGTAATTAAATCATATAATAATTAAATCCAAAAAGAAAAAAAAAAAAAAAAAAACTTATGTGCAAATAAGACCACACAAAAATGTGAAAAACACTCGATAGTGAAGCACTCTGTGTACACTTCTAAATACACATTCCTCTGTGAACACATCTAAGTGGCTGAATCACATACCCTTACCCTAATTAAATATTAAACCAGCCTCCAAACATAGTAATCCAGTGGAACCTCACTCCAATATCCACAGGAATACCTTCAGATCCCAAATTATTCATTCTTTATACTCCCGCCTTCAGTTTCTCCATGTCACTCATAGATAAAAGAAATGACAGCCATATAGTGTAGTATGTTCGATTAGAAAAGATCCAGACTTTAATTAATGTGCTTACATTTAGAAATCATAAAAAATGCATATATCAATATGTTTATTGAGGATAATACACTATCCAGTTTCCTTTTTTTTTGGAGGTACACAGCAATTTTGGAGTTACATGGCGATATTGAGTCAGAATTTGGATGAATACTTTTTGGATTTTGATTTTTGTGTATTTTTGAAATTTCACTGACATTGGAAATGTTTATATAATACACTACTAAATAGACTGAATTACTTTTTCAATTAACTCTTTTGTGTGTTTTATATCTGTCTGGAGTTCAGCCAGGGGTGGTAAAAACAGGCAGTTGAGCTGTCCCCTATTGCCTACCTAAACAAAGACATGAAGCCGCACAAGGCTGAACACATGCCAAGGCCATGATGCGTCACTTCACTCCCATGGAGATTTTAAAACCCATTCCATTTGGTGGTCAGTACTGCCCTCGAACATGACTCTGGGGTTGAGTGCAAGTGCCCTGCAATTACATGCAGTGCACATGGTTGCAGAGTGGTGGTTCAGCCTTTTTAGGCAGTGAGGAGGCGACATATTGCCTCCTAGCTTCTGAAAAGCGATTCACTGAGAATCATTTTCCAGAGGGGCGGTAAGAGCTTCTTCACATGAGAATCTTTGTCCAATGAATGAAAAGAAGCACAGAATTCACATCCCGCTAAGTGGGAAGAACAGAACCAGCAGCACTCAGGCCTTACTGCACACACACAGCAAAGAAAACACATAAACTGGATGTGAAATGCAATTAAGAGGAACACATTCTTCACAGTAACCCCGACACGTTTCATACTGTAATTAATGTCACACACCGATCATTCTATCATTAGGTCACTGCAAAATGATCCCTGTTCACACGCCGTGAAATGCGTTGTGTGACAGAAGAGGAAAGAGTAGCGGGTGAAAAATAACACGGCGGATTTTAATAACAAAACGCTATGAAACGGCTACAGCCTGTCACTGCGCCAATGCTTCAAAGTCACAAAGGCAGATATTACCCAGCCAAGGGTCAAGAGGAAAAAATACTCAGCCTGTAGAGAAAAAAAAATACACAAAATGTGTGTATGAGATAGATAGATAGATAGATAGATAGATAGATAGATAGATAGATAGATAGATAGAATCCAGAAAGTATTCACAGTGCTTAACTTTTGCCACATTTTGTTATGTTACAGCCTTATTGCAAAATGGATTAAATTAATTTATTTCTTCAGCATTCTACAAACAATACTCCATAATGACAACTTGAAAGAGGTTCGTTTTGAAATCTTTGCAATTTATTAAAAGTAAAAAAAAAAAAAAATGTACATAACATTTCCAGCCTTTGCTCAATACTTTGTTGAAGCCCCTTTAGCACCAATTACAGCCTCAAGTCGTTTTGAGTATGATGCTACAAGCTTGACACACCTATTATTGGGAAATTTCTCCCATTCTTCTTTGCAGTACCTCTCAAACTCCATCAGGTTGGATGCTGAGCGTCGGTGCACAGCTATTTTCAGATCTCTCCAGAGATGTTCAAGTCTGGGCTCTGGATGGGCCACTCCAGGACATTCACAGAGTTGGCCCATAGCCACTCCTTTGTTATGTGGGCTGTGTACTTAGGGTCATTGTCCTGTTGAAAGATGAACAGTCACCTCAGTCTAAGATCCAGAGCGCTCTGGAACAGGTTTTCATCAAGGATGTCCCTGTGCATTGCTGCATTCATTTTTCCTTTGATCCTGACTAGTCTCCCAGTTCCTGCTGCTGAAAAACATACCCACAGCATGATAATGCCACCATCATGCTTCACTGTAGGGATGGTATTGGCCAGGTGGTGAGCAGTGCCTGGTTTCCTCCAGACATGACGCTTGGCATTCAGGCCAAAGACTTCAATCTTTGTTTCATCAGACTAGAGAGTTTTGTTTCTCATGGTCTAATAGTCCCTCAGGTGCCTTTTGGCAAACTTCAGACGGGCTGTCATTTTCCTTTTACTGAAGAGTGGCTTCCGTCTGGCCACTCTACCATACAGGCCTGATTGGTGGTGTGCTGCAGAGATGGATGTTCTTCTGGAAGGTTCTCCTCTCTCCACAGAGAAATGCTGGAGCTCTTTTAGAGTGACCATTGGGTGCTTGGTTACCTTTCTGGCTAAGGCCCTTCTCCCTCGATCGCTCATTTTGGCTGGGTGGCCCTAGGAAGATTCCTGGTGGTTCCAAACTCCAAGCTCCATTTACGGATGATGGAGCCCACTGTGCTCATTGGGACCTTCAATGCTGCACCCTTCCCCAAATCTGTGCCTTGATACAATCCTGTCTCGGAGGTCTACAGACAATTCCTTGGACTTCATGGCTTGGTTTGTGCTCTTACATGCACTGTAGGACCTTATATAGACAGGTTTATGCCTTTCCTAATCATGTCCAATCAACTGAATTTGACCAAGGTGGACTCCAATCAAGTTGTGGAAACATCTCATGGATGATCAGTGGGAACAGGATGCACCAGAGCTCAATTTTGAGTGTCATGGCAAAGGCTGTGAATACTTATGTACATTTGTTTTTTGTTTTTTTATTTTTGATTAATTGCAAAGATTTCATGTTGTCATTATGGGGTATTGTTTGTAGAATGTTGAGGAAAAAAAATTAAAAAAATTAATTTAATCCACTTTGGAATAATGCTGCAACAAAACAAAATGTGGCAAAAGTTAAGCACTGTGAATACCTTCTGGATGTACTGTAGATAGATAGATACTGTATGATCAAACGTTTGTGGACATCTGATCATCACATTTTTATGAGGTTGTGAACATTCCATTCTAAAACCATGGCCATTCATATGGAGTTGGCCTCTCTTTATGGTTCTAAAGTTGGCCTCCCCCCTAGAGTCCCTTTTCTGTTCCAGCCTGATTGTGCCCCTGTTCCATAAAGAAATGGTTGGGTGTGGAGGAACTCCAGGGTCCTGCAAAAAGCCCTGACCTCATCCCTACTGGACACCTTTGGGATGAACTGAAACATCAATTTTGAGCCAGGTCTTCTCATCCAATATCAGTTCTTGACCTCATTATCATTTCGAAAGGCACCCCAAAGCACTAAGGCAAAGCAGCTCCAATGCACATGCACTGCAGTTATGCATGGAGCACGCATGTTATGGTGCTCTGTGTCAGCAAAAATGCTGTATGCCTGTTTTTTGATCTGTTCTTTTGCATTGGTCAACCATTCAAAATGAATTGGCTGCCTTAAAGTGGAACTTTAGGGCAAAAGTAAAAATGGGCGAACAAGCAGGATTTTTAATGCAGAAGAGACATGTTTTGTTTCGTCTGCATTAAAAGTTCCTTACCTGTCTGTCTACCCTTGTACAGTGAGCTGTGCAAGTGCAGCTCACTGTGCAAATTCGGCAACATCGAATCTGACTGAACTCCCATGCATGCGTGGGAGTGACGCCATCCCTATTTGGCCAATTAAAGTGGACAGACCCAGAAGCCAGCTGTCCGAAGATGTTAGTGGCAAGGAGCTCAGGGACGCCACATTGCTGGTGCCAAGGTGAGTATTGTTCTGTTTTAAGGCTAGATTCACACTGATGCAGCGCGATTTTGATCCAATTCAGGCCTCATGTACACTACTGCACCTAAAGGTGAGTTTAGGAGCTTTGGCGTTATTTTTTTTTTTTACCAAAGTCCCTTAACTCAACTCCATGTACACATAGGCTTTTACCAGAGTTTAGGAGCAGCAGAGTTTAGGGGCAGTTAAATGTTCCTCTCGAACACAAAAGAATCACATTCAGGAGAGAATGTTTTGGCCAAAAAATGCATCTAAACATTAGCCGTGTGCAGCGCTTGGGAGTTTATTCATGTCAATGGAAAATACCACATTTTTGTCCTGTTTAGCGTTTTTCTGCTGCCAGGAGAGCTAAACGTCTAAGGAAGTTCATGTGAAGATGAGGCCTTCGTGTGATTCTCAAGTGCAGTTGCAATGTGACTTGATGCGATTTTGATGTGATTTCTATTGTCAGTGCGATCCGATTCACATCTGAAACAACGAACCTTAGCACATAATGTGTTTATGCAAATACATAATACAATGTACAGGATCAGGGAAGTGTGATTGAACCTTGACTGAATGATGTTTAATTTGCAGTGTGTACTATGTATCAAACAGTTGCAATTTATTCTTAAACAAAATACTTGTTTTCACCTTTGTTCATCCTTTCTCACCTGAGGATCACATCTGTGCGGGTGGTGCCGCTGCGGATCCGCAGGAAAATCCATGCAGGCCAGGGACGGACTGACCATATGGAAACTCGGGCACTGCCCGAGGGCCCGAGGTCAGTAGGGGGCCCCATGAGATGCCCCTGGTACCTTTTTCATAGGCTTTTTTGAGTTTGGGCAAGGACACAGGGGCCCCATGATCCCCTATTGACCATTTGGAAACTTGGGCACTGCCGAGGGCCCAGGGTCAGTAGGGGGCCCCTTGAGATGCCCCTGGTACCTTTTTCATAGGCTTTTTTGAGTTTGGGCAAAGACACAGGGTCCCCATGATCCCCTATTGCCCGGGGGCCCCATGAGTTGTCAGTCCTCCCCTGCTGCAGCCACACCACCTGCACAGAGAATTGCGGACCTGCGGGCGGTGCCATTAGTTCTAATGGCACGCCGACTGCACTTGAAAACGCAACCGTACTGGGAACCGAGGTTCCCGTGCGGGCTGCGTTTTCCAAAGAAATGCAGGGACTTCTTCCCCTGCGTGTCACGGGGCAAGGGAGTCCATTCAAATGAATGGGCTCTCGTGCCCGTGCAAAACGTGGCCCGCACAGCTGCATAGATGTGAACCGGGGGTTACATGTCAGTGCTGCAACTTGCCACAGCCTTTTTTCAGCCACTTCCTGACTACATACAATCCAGCGATGGCTGCATGGCATTTCTCAGGATGGATTTCCTGAAGGTGACAACAGTGCAATATCTAATATGTGTTGAAATGGCCACATGTAGTTTTCATCAGAAGCCTGTGTGACAGGGTGACAACACAAGAGCACAAGTGAGAGACAGGGTCAAGACGTTGTCACCCTTTCACAGGAAGTGCCTGAACAAGGACCCTGATGGCAGAATTACCAGGCAATACTTTAAATAAAGCTAACATATTAAAAAGGCTGAAAATGACTTTTGAAATTACATTAACCCGCTAATGCTTACATGAGATTTTTTGCACTTGCGTTTACATCTACTTTAATTATGTTTTGTATGCCAAACCAGAACAATCGGAAACACAACCAGGTAAAGATTCAAATCATAAAAAAAAAAAAATCCAAATAAAAGCTGATGGTGTTGTCCTGCTTCAAACCCCACCCATACAGAAGGCGACATTTACATCTCTATTAGCATAGGGAACCCTTTGGGCACAATTTATCTGGTACATATAAACCCTGCCTGCGTATTTAGACTTATTACCATAATTGGGCCCTGACACACTCATTATTTGTCCTGCTAAAATGTTGACTTTATCCATTCATTTTTAAGATGAAACACTTAACAAGAATGAGGAATTCATGAATGAATTATTGATGAATAGGACACATTTTCATCATGTGTGTTTTTTTTTCCTTGTGACAGGTTGACGTTTTCATGGTCATTTTGTCTTTGGTAATGCGGCGATACAATAGGGTGTCTTTGCCAATGGATGGGTACAAAAAAAAAAAAAATCTTGACTTTGTTATTATTATGGATGGTGTCTTCCGCTAGAGAAATATTAACTGAATGAGCGTTCGCAGATATGCGCGATTCCTGCACTTGCTATATCAATTATTAATTTGGAAGGCGCTCCGGGGAAATTGGATCCCAGCCCTCCTCCAGCAAAGCTCATTGTTTAATCTCCCCTCCATATACGGGGGATGGCTACCAACATGTTCCACGCAGATTCTGTAGGGGAAACCTGTTAGCTAATGAGGCCCTTTCTCCCACCCCCCACCTTCTCTGGCAGGCTGCAGGAGGAAGTGATTTGCATTGCAGGAGGGGGAATTGGAAGTATGCAGACCCCAGGGTAGAACTCACAACACAGGGATGCAAATGACGGAAGCCAATTAGACAAAAGAGGATCGGGGAAGGTTACCTGCCTGATTTGGCAGCAGTTAAAGGCACTGCGCCTGACTGAGCTCACTACTGCTAATCCGCGACTCTCACTCACCGCCTTTGGAAGGAAAATGAATAATTAACTGAAGATGAAATGCATTTCTGTCCAAATTATCCTTTTTTTTTTGGCCCCTTCTAATAGCCTCAGTTAATCATATGAAATTTGGAAGTAAATCTGGCCATACACCGTAGAATTTTATTAGAAAATGTTTTGTTTTTGGAGGCTTCTTTTGATTTTCTAATGGATTTTGGGTTTGAATTGAAGATAGAATTTTCTCATCACTACAGTCAAAAACTAAGAGCAGGATGAAACATTTTTCTTGACAAACTTAATTCTACCTGTGAATGTGGTTTTCATTCAGGAAAGATTGTAGATATCATAATGCGCATGTTCTAGGCATAGAAGAAACCCAACAAATGTGTCTGGGATTCGGTTTAAGTAGCAGGTTTGCACAAAATTCTAAAGGGATTTTGCATGAGTTAGTTGACTCACTGGTGTGGATTTACTAAAACTGGAGAGTGCAAAATCTGGTGCAGCTCTGCATGGTAGCCAATCAGCTTCTAACTTCAGCTTATTCAATTATGCTTAAAAACTGGAAGCTGATTGGCCACCATGCAAAACTGAACCAGATTGTGCATTCTCCTGTTTTTGTAAATCAACCCCAATGATGGCAAGATTGAATGTTCAGAGGAACAATTTTTCAGAATTTGCATACAAACTTTCAAACCAAAAAGTCTACTGGTGTATGGCCAGCTGAAAACTCCCTAAAAAATGTTGGTGCCTTGTTTGGAATTTCGAAATCCCATTCTATAAAGCACCGACTCTACTGTCCCTACCAACAATGTCCAACCCATTCCCTCTAATTCTGCACCATTGAAACCCATTGCCAACTTACAGCATCATACAGCATCATCTATCCTGGACCACTGTAACCATTGCACCCAGCATCTTTCTGTCCTGGACCACTGTAACCATTACACCCAGCATCATTCTATCCTGGACCACTGTAACCATTACACCCAGCATCATTCTGTCCTGGACCACTGTAACCATTACACCCAGCATCATTCTATCCTGGACCACTGTAACCGTTACACCCAGCATCATTCTATCCTGGACCACTGTAACCGTTACACCCAGCATCATTCTATCCTGGACCACTGTAACCATTAGACCCAGCATCATTCTATCCTGGACCACTGTAACCATTACACCCCACATCATTCTATCCTGGACCACTGTAACCATTGCACCCAGCATCATTCTATCCTGGACCACTGTAACCATTAGACCCAGCATCATTCTATCCTGGACCACTGTAACCATTAGACCCCCCGCATCATTCTGTCCTGGACCACTGTAACCATTAGACTCAGCATCATTCTGTCCTGGACCACTGTAACCATTAGACCCCGCATCATTCTGTCCTGGACCACTGTAACCATTAGACCCCGCATCATTCTGTCCTGGACCACTGTAACCATTAGACTCAGCATCATTCTGTCCTGGACCACTGTAACCATTAGACTCAGCATCATTCTGTCCTGGACCACTGTAACCATTGCACCTAGCATCATTTTATCCTGGACCACTATAACCATTACACCCCACATCATTCTATCCTGGACCACTATAACCATTACACCCCGCATCATTCTATCCTGGACCACTGTAACCATTGCACTCAGCATCATTCTATCCTGGACCACTGTAACCATTACACCCAGCATCATTCTATCCTGGACCACTGTAACCATTACACCCCGCATCATTCTATCCAACTGTGGCCTCTCCTCCACTCTTCAGTACCAGAGAATTGCTTTTTTTTTTACCTCTTAAGATGTTGGTGTATGTTGTTCAAAAATGTATCTGAACTTTTGGGTGGCGTGCTGAGCCATTAGAACCCCTGTCAGGTTATTGCTCTGTATTTTTAGGATTATGAAGAACACTGGATTTATTAATATCTCCTGTATAGTCACAGCTTTAATATTGGAGTTCACAGATAGCCCTGTTTGTTAGAACTCTCGTAGAGTGTCCTTAGGGAAACATCCAGTCCTGCCAGGAAACAGAAACAACACTCCACTTATAAACCCCAGAATAAGATTTTATCTGAATCCATTAGGAAAAAGGCATTTCATGGGATGATGAACTAGAACAAAAGTAAACTTTAAACAAGCTAAAATGCCTGCTATTTAGACATTTCAGTCCAGCTCATATTTCATTCTACTTTCCTATTTCAGCAATGAAGAAGGGGGACCCTTGGAACCCCGAAACATGTTGGCTTTTTCCTGGCAGAGTGACGCTTCTATTCCCTACCTCATCTGTAGGTTTTTATTTCTGTCTATGTTCCTGCTGGGGAGATTCACCTAATTTGTCCAGTTGACCATACTGGTGATCATGTTACCAGAATTGAAAGTAAAACTGGCCATAGAGGAGTCAAAAACTAAACATTCTGGCAATTAAAACATGAAAATGGCTCATATGATTGGTCCATCATTTGTTTTGTTTAGAAAAAACAAAACACACAGAACAGCAGCATGTTGGATCAGGCACTTTCAATTGTGGCACAAAAATCTCGTGTCACAGCTGGCACACTCATGATGCAAAAAAACGAACGATTTGACAACCAACAAGAATTTTCGTTCAGTTTTTGACTCATCTATGGCTGGCTTAGGGAGAATCTAAAATTTTACAGTTGTCTGAAGAACTTAAAAAAGGGGAAATCATCCCTTCTTGTTCAGGTAACAGTGGTCTGAGATAAAAAGATTTCTCGCACTTTAAAAATTTCTTTTTTTTAACTTCCTGTTGTGCCTTCAGGGCAGGAAGTGAAGTAAAATCTCCCCAATGGCATGCAAAAAAAAAAAAAAAGTTAAAAAAAAAAGGGGCTTTTAGCATTCTCTACCCAAAAAAAGCAAGAAGATAATGTGGTTGAGATAGTATGATGCAATGATCACACGAAATCCTGAGGTCATTGCCTTTTTTCAAATTTGAAGCTTCTGTACAATACTCCAAGAAAAACGTTCTGCTGACCCCACTCAAGTGAATTCTGGATGGATGAGGTGAACAGGTCACCCCAGGAGAATATAGTGACTCTTAGCTACAGCAATAAAAGCCCAAATGTCTGAGTGTTCCTGTGGAAGGCACGCTAATAAAACTAAGTGGGGGGTCAAATCACTTTTTTATCGAGACATGACATGGACGGTTTTAAAGGTCTTTCCACAGAGTCATTGAAAGTCCAGGTCCCCTCCTGACCCTCTTTTTTACATCCGGCATACCAGGGATTTACTGATTA